TAGGGTTTAGGGAGTTTAGGGTATAGGGTTTTGGGTTTAGTGAGCTGTCTCAAACGATGATGATACTCATGGGCTTAGGGCTTCGGGAGTTTAGGGCTTAGGATTTTGGGTTTAGGAAGTTTTGGGCTTTGGGTTGTAGGAGTTTAGGGTTGAGGGGCTTTGGGTTTAGGGCGTGATCATGGGCATCATGGTCATGAGCAGCAGCAGCATCCGCAACAGCACACTCAAATCATACTCCCAGTCGCCGCCACTACCAATCAACAAGATCGACAACATCGAGCAACTGTAAGGAAAAAACCGCCAGTCAACCCTCAACCCTTTTCACTGCCAGCAGCTGCAGCAAACACACCAAGACAAAGCCAGGGAGCCAGAGACCCGGGTTCCCCCGGGTGATCCTGCAGTGCAGCTCTTCTTTGGCTTTGGGGCTTTCGGTTTTTTTGCTCGGTTGTCGGTGTTTTGTCGGATTATGGCTTTTGGTCTTGGCTCCGCAAACGGTGCCACGGGGCCACGGGGGTTTTAGGGTTCCGGGTTTTTTGCTGCTTCCGGCAACAGGCTCCTCCATGCCTCTCCCAAGCTCGAAGGAACGTCTGAAGACGCAAACCCTAAACCCTAAACCGAAACCTTTTCCCCCCCGTAGCCCTCAACCCCAAGCTCCAAACCATGAACCAAAGCCTGACTCCACCACTGCGCCCGGAACCCAAAACCCTAAACCCCAAAACCCTGAACCCTAAACCCTAAACTCTAAACCCAGAAACCTAAACCCTAAACCCTAAACCCTGAAACCCCTCGGATCTCCACTCTGACTTTATGGGCCGCGCGGCAAATTCGTGAGCGAGTCCGCGAGGCAGTAGTTTGGCAGCCTCGGATTGTTCGGACAGGAGCCCTTTATAGGGTTTAGGGTTTAGGGTTTAGGGTTTGGGGTTTAGGGTTCAGGTTTAGGGTTTAGGGTTTAGGGTTTAGGGTTAAACCCTAAACCCTAAACCCTAAACCTGGAAACCGGGTTAAGGACAAACAGTGCTGGGATTCCCTATACATGACTCTTAAGGATTGAGGCTATTGGGTTTGCACTTTTGGGGCTTCTACTGTAGTGTTTAGGGGTTTGGGTTTAGTGTCTAGGGACTAGGGTTTGGGGTTTAGGGTTCAGGCTTAGCGTTTAGGGTTCAGGGTTTAGGGCTTAGGGTTTACATGTGGTTGCCCTACTTTCTGATTACAGGATCCTAACCATAAAATAAGTCATCCAAAGAAATGTACTACAATTAAGGGTCTAGGTAGTGTTTCGGGGTTGTTTGAAATTAGGAAACCCTTTCATTTTCCTGAAACTGTGTGTCCTAAATTCCATCATTTGCTCTCAAGGTTTCTTTAGAACGGGCGGAGCCTTTTCAAATCCTGACCCCCATGTTATCCCAGAAAATGCGGTACATGCTTCAATGGTTTGCATGCATGCATTTATGTATGCATGTGCGTATGCACGCATGTACATATTTATGCATGTTCCGCATATTGATTTAGGTAGGTGGACAGGTTGGCGTGCAGGTAGAATCAGCTTGAAAAAAAGGCTCCAACTTGAGCATCCGAGCATCCAAGCTTAGCATCACCTTTATGCCTTCCTTCCATGGTTACGGTTTAGGGTTTAGGGTTTAGGGTTTAGGGTTTAGGGTTTAGGGTTTAGGGTTTAGGGTTTAGGGTTTAGGGTTTAGGGTTCAGGGTTAGGGTGTAGGGTTTAGGGATCCATAAGGCCCTAAGCCCTAAGCCGCGTAGTTAGTCTTGGCCCTCCAGGGCCTGGCCCAGTAAGAGACCCTTGCCAACCAGGCGAGACACAGACGGAAGATGTAGATCAGGGTGTTCTGTCTGGTGCTTAGTAGGGTTTAGGGTTTCCAGGCGAGACACAGACGGAAGATGTAGATCAGGGTGTTGCTGACGAGATCCTGCAGCACTCTCCTGATCCCTACCCCCTGTGCCTGGACCCCAACAGCATGTAGAATAATAGCCTTTTCGAGGTGTTGGGCCATTATTTTACCTACCTTTCGGGATTTAGGTAGACCTTTTAAACCCCAAACCGTGCTCTTTATAATCTAAGGTGACAAATCCAGGGCGAGTCGGCCTGATTGGACAGCTTCAAGTGGGAAGATACAGCTGCGCGCATTTGTAAGGTACCAGAGATACATGCGCCTACGCCAACTCTACATCAGACACTGAACACACCCCGAGCGCAATAAACCTCAGTTGGGAAAATGAACCGAAAGTATAAACCCTAAGGCCAACCTTGGTGGATGGAATGACAGACAGCACGATCGCGACGATCATGAGGATGCCACCAGTGAACCTCGAAAGCTCTGCTCAGAATATGGAGATCTCGCGTTCTGTTTTGGGATTCCCGGTCCGCCGACTGCCGACCTAGCCCTGAAGTTCTCAGCCCGAAGACATGCAGTGACCGACGTGTTCATGTAGACCGATTCCTTGATACACCCGCACATGCCCCACCCGCGAAGAACCCTGAACCCCAACGCCCCAATCCGAACGAGCCTAAAGCCCCAGTACCCTAAACACGAAATGAGAATCCTAAACCCTAAACCCCTAAACCCTAAACCCTAAACCCTAAACCCTAAACCCTAGCGATGGTTCAACGTTCTCCGAAAAAAGCAAACTCAGACTTCTGGTCCGGAATTTGTCAGAAATTCGGTAACTGCTGTCAGAAACCTCCAGAGTTAGTCTGTTTAGATGACTGCGGTTGGGCCATGACTCCAGGACTCTTGGGCTTACGTAGAGCCCTAAACCCTAAACCCCTAAACCCTAAACCCTAAACCCTAAACCCTAAACCCTAAACCCTAAACCCTAGCCATGGTTCAACGCGACTTAGATGACTGCAGTTGGGCCATGACTCCAGGACTCTTGGGCTTACGTAGAGCCCTAAACCCTAAACCCTAAACCCCTAAACCCTAAACCCTAAACCCTTAAACGGCTTACGGTTTAGGGGCTAGGGTTCCCATTCCTAAACTTCAAGACCTATAATCTAACATAGGGGGCCTTAATGGGTTTAGGGTTTAGGGTTTAGGGTTTAGGGTTTACGGTTCAGGGTTTAGGGTTAGAATCAGGTTTTGGGGCCCATTCTACTATTCTTATAATAAGGAACAACAAGAATAATCTAGGTAATTATTAAGGCGCCTATAATCTACAAGGGTTCCGACCCCCAAAACTTACAGCAACCCTCACAGTAGCCCTTGCAGGAAGCCTCAAAACCCTGAAAAGAAGTCGCGGAACTCTACACCGTAAATCCTTTAGACTAAAAGGGGCCTGAAAACCCCAAAGCTCTAAAGCCTAAAACTCTGAACCCAAAAAATCCTGAACCCAAGAGGAACCCTGAAAAAGCCCTGAGGGGATGTTGCCGCCCGAGCGCAAGTAGACGATCAGCAAGACGTTCTGCGCCGCCGTGTGGGAGCGGAAGAGGAAGGAAAGCCTTCCAGGGGTTGGGTTTAGGGTTTAGGGTTTAGGGTTTAGGGTTTTAAGGTTTAGGTTTCAGGGTTTATGGTTTAGGGTTTAAGGCTTAGGGCTTATGGCTTAGCGTGTAGGGCTAAGGGAGGGTTTGGGGTCTTGACCCTAAACCCTAAACCCTAAACCCTAAACCCTAAACCCTAAATCCTAAACCCTAAACCCTAAACCCTAAACCCTAAACCTCTAGAGTCTCGGGTTTGGGGTTTAGGATTTGCTTGTTGCTTTAAGGGCTCCTTGCCGACTGCATGCAGCTGGAGGAGCCTGTAGGTTCGGGTTTAAGGTTTCGGGTTTCGGGTTTAGGGTTTAAGGTTTCGGGTTTAGGGTTTAGGGTTTAGGGAAGCCCGGGACCATGAGGAAAGATTCCGGATAAGGGCCGCTCAGCTCCCTTTTGCTCCCATGCGTTCTGTTAATTTTCCACTCCATATGTTGTGCCTAAT